CTATCCATCTCTCAAAAATGTGGGCGTATCCTGCCTGGCAGCCACTGGTTATCCAATTTTGTTGAAACTTAAAATGTAAGTTTATAACCCAAAGATCTCTGTTCCTTTCTATATTCTTGCATATCAGACCGTAACTTCCTGAATTATGGCCCCTGATTGTACGAAAAATCACATTTTTAGCTTGTGGACCCTATAGAGGTCATAATTTTTATCTGATTTAAAAAAAACGTATCATTATATCACCGTTACACTCTATCCTTTCGATATTTTTGCATATCGGACCGTAACTTCCTGAATTATGGCCCCTGATTGTACGAAAAATCGTATTTTTGGCTTGTGGACTCTATAGAAGTCATAATTTTTATCTGATTTAAAAAAAACGTATCATATCACCGTTACACCCTAAGGACGACTGAGTTCAAATTTCGTGAAAATCAACCCAAAATTGACAGACAAAATGGCCGCCGTTTGTTCTCAAATAGGGTAAAAAATATGGTATATCAAGGTTGTGGACCCTATAGAGGTCACAATTTTTATCTGATTTTGTTGAAACTTGAAATGTAAGTTTATAACACAAAGATCTCAGTTCCTTTCGATATTCGGGCATATTGAATTGTAATTTCCTGAATTATGGCCCTTGATAGTAGGAAAAATCACTTTCTTGTTAGCTTGTTCTCTATCCATCTCTCGAAAATGTGGGCGTATCCTGTCTGGCAGCCACTGGTTATCCAATTTTGTTGAAACTTAAAATGTAAGTTTATAACCCAAAGATCTCGGTTCCTTTCTATATTCTTGCATATCGGACCGTAACTTCCTGAATTATGGCCCCTGATTGTACGAAAAATCACATTTTTAGCTTGTTGACCCTATAGAGGTCATAATTTTTATCCGATTTAAAAAAAAAACGTATCATTATATCACCGTTACACTCTATCCTTTCGATATTTTTGCATATCGGACCGTAACTTCCTGAATTATGGCCCCTGATTGTACGAAAAATCGTATTTTTGGCTTGTGGACTCTATAGAGGTCATAATTTTTATCCGATTTAAAGAATTGTATTTTTATATCACTGTTACACCCTAAGGACAGCTGAGGTTGAATTTCGTGACAATTGGGTCAAAATTGACATACAAAATGGCCGCCGTTCGTTCTCAAATAGCGTAAAAATATGGTATATCAAGGTTGTGGATCCTATGGAGGTCACAATTTTTATCCGATTTTGTTGAAACTTGAAATGTATTATTATATCACCGTTACACCCTAAGTACGGCTTGTGGACACTTTAGAGGTCATAATTTTTATCCGATATAAAAAAACGTATTATTATATCACCTTTACATCCTAAGGACGGCTGAGTTTGAATTTTGTGAAAATCGGCACAAAATTGACAGACAAAATGGCCGCCGTTCGTTCTCAAATAGCGTAAGAATATGGTATATCAAGGTTGTGGACCCTATAGAGGTCACAATTTTTATCCGATTTTGTTGAAACTTAAAATGTAAGTTTATAACCCAAATATCTCGGTTCCTTTCGATATTCGCGCATATCAGACCATAACTTCCAGAATTATGACCCCTGATTGTACGAAAAATCGCGTTTTTAGCTTGTGGACCCTATAGAGGTCATAATTTTTATCCGATTTAAAAAAACGTATTATTATATCACCGTTACACCCTAAGTACGGCTGAGTTCGAATTTCGTGAAAATCGGCCCAAAATTGACAGACAAAATGGCCGCCGTTTGTTCTCAAATAGTGTAAAAATATGGTATATCAAGGTTGTGGAACCCTATAGAGGTCACAATTTTTATCCGATTTTCTTGAAACTTGAAATATAAGTTTATAACCCAAAGATCTCGGTTCCTTTCGATATTTGCGCATATCGAATTGTAATTTCTTCAATTATGACCCTTGATTTGTAGGAAAAATCACTTTCTTTTTAGCTTGTTCTCTATCCATCTCTAGAAAATGTGGGCGTATCCTGCCTGGCAGCGCCGGTTGTATATATTGTCTACAGGCTGCAATTCAGAATGGATCATCTTGGAACTTTGCATATTTATTTCTTATGCCAGACAGCAACTATTTATTTTGGTGCATGCCCCTACCATCTGGGGCAGGTTGTATATATTGTCTACAGGCTGCAATTCAGAATGGATCATCTTGGAACTTTGTATATTTATTTCTTATGCCAGACAGCAACTATTTATTTTGGTGCATGCCCCTACCACCTGGGGCAGTGTCACACCCACTTTTTTGTTAATACTGTGTCTGTAAATTTGGCGAAACAAACCCAACCCTTAGCCCTCTTTGCCTCTTGTCATATTACAGGGTTCCCGCGGTCCTTGAAAATCCTTGAATATCCTTAAATTTAAAATTTCATTTTCAAGGTCTCGAATATCCTTGAATTTCGCGGAAATAGGAAAATATCCTTGAATTTCAGTTGAGATCCGACCTTAATTTTGTTTCAAATTGGTAATAATAGTAAGTTGATATGAAAATCCTGTTTAGATTAGAAGTTATGCTAGTTATACTAAACAATAACTCTGACGTATACCTGTCAATCAACTGATCTAAATAAACAGCTGTGTTTTGTCACCTAATAACAAGATAAGCCAATGACATTTACCGTAATGCACTGGACACATTAGCCGAATCGTTCGGCCGAATCAATCGGCGCCGAATTTTATTCGGCCAAACGGGTGGACACACTAGCCGAATGCGTCGCCCGATTCAACCTGCCGATTGCATCACCTTTCACGTCACATGATTAAACATGGCGGCGTCTATGTCTTCAATCTATCACGTGACTTCTCGATATGAGTGGTGATTGGCTAATGAATTCTATATTCCGCCGAATGCTTCGGTGAAGAGAACAAACCAGGCAAATATAATTCGGCCGAATAAATATTCCGCCGAATATATCAAACCTGTTTGATTCAGGCAAATCATTCGGCCGAATGACAGTGGACACACTAGGCGAATTTCGACGCCGATTGATTCGGCCGAATCATTCGGCTAGTGTGTCCACCGCTATAGGCAACCAAATACTCTCACGTGACCCCATTGTCCAATTAACATACTAGAAGCCACTACACTGACTAATCAAAATCGGTATTAGTAATTACATTAAACTATGCATAATAACGAAGGCAAGCCTGCATGACATTGAAAATAAAACATGTCTTTCAAACTTCGTGGCTTGATAGCTATAACTGGCTAAGTCGCGATGAAACAAACATTCATCAAGCGAAATGCTGCATATGCAAGAAGAGTTTCAGTATCAAGAAAATGGGTATATCCGCTGTACGTTCACACGAAAAGAGTGAAAAACACATCAAATTAACGAAAGCTACGTCATCAAATATGACTATTAGTTTCACATTAAAACAATAATAAACGTATTAATAATCGGAAAATTAACGTCAATAAACTGTACTACTTTTTATTCGTACTTTAGTTTAATCAGTTAACTGTGGTTCGAGTCGAAAAGGGAAATAACTCTGTTTTAAAAATGGCGGGAGTTTTTCCGGTGTGCCGAAAGTCGATCTGTAATAATAAAAAAACAGTTTATGTCTTCAATTCCTTTTAAATATGAGATTATAACGATAGTTGGTAATGTTTTGGTTATTTTTAAGATGAAAAATTGTAACTTTAGGCTAAAAAATGTCCTTGAAAATCCTTGAATTTGACGTATATTTATCCTTGAAAAAAATGTTTGACGAAGCCGCGGGAACCCTGTATTGCAGCCATTTTTTTATTTCATTCTCTTCATTTTAAAAAGTAATATATCAATCACAGCAGGAATGTTGACGTATATTGCAGTGTTAGCGATGTTCTAGTTAGAATCGGCTCATACATAGCATAGCTAAGATTTTGCACCAATTTCAACTATATTACTTATGAGGCAAATTTTGGCCCACGTTAGCACTTTTTAATATAGTCAGAAAAGGGCATGGCCCCACTTTTTCTGGTCAGATTTATATTTTTTTATATTCATGCATTGTATGGCAATATTTTAGAAATAATTCTGATCCAATTATTTATGAGACAAATTTGAGCCCTTTTTGTCCTTTTTTATCTTCTCCTCCCAGCCAAATTCCCCACTGAAACCTCGTAAGACTGAGTGTTTTGAATTTGCCCCATCAATAACTGCCAATTAATATGGTCAAACCTTCTATTACTTATGAGGCAGTTTTTTTCGTCCCTGGCTCTTGGTCTATTAGAGAAGTGACTACATGTATATAACAGTATTAACACCAAGCAACCGGAGGGTGGGGGGGGGCCTTTGATAATGAAATTGACTTTCCAGCAACAGAAATTTAATGGACCACTAACAAACGACACGTTAGCAAAATAATTATAATGGAATCGAGCGCTGTAGGCGCAAAACAATTTCAGACAGCTAGGTAGATTTACGTAACTGAACTTTTAGCACCATAGGCGCAAAAACATTTCAGATGTAATTTGGGACTGGGACTGAGGGACTTTGTCTTACACACCCACCCCTAGATCTGTGCCTGTCCTGACACCGAAACTTTGTGAAAATAGGACTGCAATTGCCTAACAAAATGGCCACTCCTTTTACGCAAATATGGTAAAGTATGGAATATCAAGGTTGTGGAACCTCTAGATGTCACAATTTTTATCCAATTTTGATGAAACTTGAAATATTTTCATATCCCAAAGATCTTGGTTTCTTTCGGACATTAATTTCCTGGGTTATGGTCCCTGATTGTACTAAAAATCACAATTTTAGCCTGTGGACCCTCTAGAGGTCACAATTTTTATCTGCCCAACGTACGCAAATAGTGTGAAAATATGTAATACTAAGGTTGTTGACCCTCTAGAGGTCACAATTTGTATCCGATTTTGATACATTGCGTGTGTTGGACTAACCGATTGTCTCTCCCAAAAAATCTTTAGCTTGCTCTCTGTCCATCTCTGTCAAAATGTGGACACATCTTGCTTAATTAGCAACCGCTTGTTTGTTTACTTGTAGCTTGGTGGTGAACCTGCAGGAATTACGACTACAAGTTCTTCTATTGATGTAAGTAAATTAAAAAAAAAAAAAAAAATAGGATTTTCTTATAGATTTTGTACATCCATAGTAAATGTTACGGTAGCCAAACCCCAGTTTAAACTAGGACATGTAAAATGGAGTCCATCCAGACTTCTTTCCCAGTTTGTTTGTAGACACTCTACAGGTAACAATTTTTATCACAATGCCTCTTGATGGATGGTAACATTGTTACTTGTTATAACCATAAAGGAATAATATATAGACAGGGCCAAGAGGCCAACCCCGAAAACCATGAAACAGTTAAATACGAACGAAAAAAGTCACTGACACTTGGGATAACTAGGTCTTCATAGTCACTCTTATCTCTTACATTATCTCACTCTCTGCTTACAATCTGGTTATAGCTAACCGTGTTAATCAAATCGGTCGGTTGTGATTCTATCTTTGCCTTGGAATAAACTACAACTTTGATGTAAGATGTTCTCTTGGCTAAAAACCTTTACTCTCTCAATCACGAGACATACCATAGAACCAAATCGGCCCAGAGCCAATATTGTTGAAAAGTTACTCATTCAACAAAGACACATAACCAAAGGATGACTGACCTACCCATCCAATTAATTCAACGGAAAATCTCACCTCGGTCCACAAAAGAGACAAACACACTAGTCGCCTCTCACTTCCCATTTCCAAGGCATTTTAATCCAAACCTTGACTCAAATATAATTAAACTATATGGTACTAAATAAATATATTAAACCCCTCAGGTGCCATATTGAATTATGCAATATTTAGCGTTTAAGAAACTTAATACATTAAGGAATCAACAACAAATCTAAATCAATAGGCTTCTTCATCTCAGTAATAATTGGAAATCAAAAGGCTTAAACAAAAACAATAATCTTTCATATGTAATGGTCTTTATTTTGTTTTAGACTGCCAAAAAAGCCTCAGATATCAGTCATCTAATTCGTAAAAAGGTACGTAATGTAACTTCTTTCAGACGGAATGCTTGTATGAATTTTTGCCCCCTCTTTTCCAAGAAAGCAGGGGACTATCAAAATGGGTTCGTCCGTATGTCTGTCAAACTTTTTCGGACACAATAACTTTCCTAGTTTTCTGCTCAGGGTAAGCAGAACGATAAGCAATTTGACTGGTCAAGACTTGGGAACACAATTACTCTCATTCTAATTGAGCTAGAATGTTCACACTTGGTGTAGGTGTTTATTAGGTGACTGCCTTGATCATTTGATGGAGTTCGAAGATGAGAATTTTCTGCTTTGGGTAAGCAGAGATGAGCAATTTGATTGGTTGATGCTTTGGAGCACAAAAATTCTAGAGTTTCCGATAACCAATTTTACACTGGTAAATTTTAACTTGTACCAGTAAATTATTTTCCCGGCAGTCCATGGGACCGGTAAACAATGATAACGGAAAATCATAAACGTCAACAAAATTAACTGCAACTTCATCTTTCCATTCGAACTCGTGTCAAAAATCGGGCCTGACCAATCACTGGAATTCATTTACTATCACCAGAATTCACCTATAATCACCGGAATTCACTTCGAAAACCCCGATTCCTCCCACAAAACTAATTTATTTTAAATGCATAATACATTATAATATACTATTCAAAAAAAGTAGGGGATATTTGATTTTGGGGGCATAATACTAAAATATGCAAATGACTACGAAAAAAGTCACTATAGAACCTAACAGAAGAAACATTTCCAGTTACATATGACGCCCAAACGCACCAATAGCTACCGCATGGAATGCAGGTGATGCTTGGGATCATCATGGGGGTCCAACCCAAGATTTGCACGACTCTGACTTTGAATGTTACAGTCATTGTGGCATTGAATTCCAGGGTGGAAACATCAGTTTAACTGTTTTAGTGACCAGAAAACAAATTTTGATATGCGTCGGCTTACCCAAAATGAAAGGTTACGTGCCCTTGGCATGCTACAGATCGGCACAACACAGGCGGTTGTGGCGCGGACGATGAATGTTTCTCAGTCTGTCATAAGCAGGCTATGGTCCAGATACCGTGATACACAATCTGTACAGGACAGACCACGCTCAGGTCGACCAAGGGCGACAACTCAAGCCCAGGATCGATTTATCCGTACCTTGGCCTTGAGAAATCGTGTCATCACAGCAAATCAGATCAGCGCTCGTCTTCAAACAGACACTGGTGTGAGAGTGAGTGGCCAGACGATTCGGAATCGACTGCATAGGGGTCACCTTCGCGCCCGACGTCCTCGCGTGATCCCTTGTTTGAGAGATCATCACATTCAGGCAAGACGTCGTTGGTGTAGGGATCGTCAACACTGGGATAATCGACGCTGGAGCAATGTGATGTTTACAGATGAGTCAAGGTTCACTGTTGATTTTTTGGACAGACGTAGGAGGGTGTGGCGTCGTCGAAACGAGCGCTTCCAAGACGTTAACGTCATCAGACATGATCGATTTGGGGGTGGTTCTGTTATGGTGTGGGGAGGCATCACTGTTGCTGGAAGAACGGCTTTACATGTTGTTGCAGGGCGTGTTACAGGCCAGTACTACCGGGACAACATCTTGGCAGTCCATGTTGTGCCGTTCGCACGACGTCATGGCCGCCGTTTCATCTTCCAGGATGACAACGCAAGATGTCACAGGGCCAGGATCGTTACAGGTTACCTCCAACAACAGAACATCACCACATTACCTTGGCCAGCACTGAGTCCCGACCTCTCCCCCATCGAGCATGTCTGGGACATGCTTGGACAGAGGTTACGTTAACGTCAACAACGTCCTGCCAATGTCCAAGAACTTGCTGCTGCGTTGCAACAGGAATGGGACAATCTGGACCAAAATGACCTTAGACGTCTCATTAGGAGTATGCCACGTCGGATCAATGCTTGTTTGGCAAACAGAGGAGGATTTACCCGTTACTGACTTGGTTGTGATGCTGTGGTAACTTTGCTGTTTGACCCCGGGTATCATTTTACCCTTATAATGGTCAGTCTGTGCCTTACTTAGTCTAACGATCATTTGGAATAAATCGATGAATGTGAACTTCATTTCATTTTGTCATTTGTTTCTTCGTCAGTTTCATTAGGTGACTTTAATAACACTTAAAAATCAAATATCCCCTACTTTTTTTGAATAGTATATAACGAATAACTATTTTGATCTCTCCACATGCCAGATGAAGGTGCTGTAGGTGTATTTATTTAAAAGACCACCGGAATTCATTTCAAATATATGCATCATGATTGATAACGTAGGGCGCGTCAAATTACCCAATAACTCCAAAACATCCTCCAGTAACTCCAAAAACGTTGACTATGGAAACAGAAAATAACAATTTAGTTGAGTTTAAGAAGCCTCACTGATTTGTGCCCAAATCGGAGGTTCATGAGAGATAACTCGTGTATGTGATTTTTGTTGACAAAAAACTAATGTATACTTTCGTTGTAATGTATTGTAATAGTGATTGATTAATAGTTTATTAAAACAGTAATTATATGCATGAAACATATTATGGTGTATATAGTGCAGTAAACAATCCAATATTATAGCTATATTTATTCATAATTGCAAATTGTGTTGATTGTCACGTTCAGTCATCGACATCGTAACTTGTTTTGAAATAAATAAATGAAAATCTAATATGATTCTAAATCCGATATTTTGATCATTAAAGGGAGATTACTCGACATGTGGAGAAAATCTTGTAACTCGTCAAATTTGAGATGTTTTAAAACAATTATGTGTAGAACCTATTTGTAATTCATCAAATTAAAGCCTCTTTTATATCAGCATTTCAGTCCTAATTTTAACTTAACAATATTATTTGACCAAAAAAATATACTGGAATTCACTTACAATCACCGGAATTCACTTTGAAGATATCAGAATTCGCCCGTAAGATCTTCCTATATACTTATATTTTCCTTTAATATTAATATTGAATTACTTTTAATTTATTATTAGTGTTTAATATATTAGGAAATATGAAGGTCTTCAGTGCGAATTCTGATATGTTGAAAGTGAATTCCTGTGTTTATATGTTTTCAATGTGAATTCCGGTGATTTTATGTGTTTTAAACTTTAAAACTTAAAACACATAAAATCACAGGAATTCACTTTCAACATATCAGAATTCGCACTGAAGACCTTCGTATTTACTAATATTTTACATTAATAATAAATTACTTTAAATCACCGGGATCCACTTTGAAAACAAAAAAACATCGGAAATCGCACTTAAGACCTTTGTATTTACTAATATTTTACATTAATAATAAATTACTTTAAAACACCGGAAATCACTTTGAGAAAATCGGAATTCGCCCCAAGACAATTGTGTTTACTTATATTTTCCATTAATATTAATACTAGAATGTATCTGCTGTAAAACGATATTTCCAGATTGTCAACTCAGGGAAACACAATATGATAAGAACACGGCAGTAATCTATGTAAAATGTCAAATCAAACATTTCTTGAATGTGGAGCAAAAATTCGCAGTGTAGATGAGCTAAGTTTAGTCGAAAATTAACTTGGTAATAATAAACCAATCAAAAAAAGTCTCATCAATAATGGTTTGGATGTTTTCATAGATAATCCTTTGTAGCATGAAGCAGTCCAGATTAAATAAAGTGTAATTGTAAGTTGTCTCGTGCCACTAACGAGACGCAAAAACACAGGGGTCACACAATTCCGGCTTAATCCTTACTGATTATTCCTTAAATCAACACTGACTTGTTTAGTAGTTATTTTAATAATTGATTTGCCTGGGATATGAAGTTCAGATTTATGTTTAACCTGTTTGTTGACCGAGCCCTTTTGTTGATTGTCTCTAATCATAGACAGGAACTTACCACATTGTGGTTGTTGTTGAAATCTGTAATAAACAACAATCACATTACACACAAAATACTGACATGGGAAGACCCGTCTGTGGGCTACTCCCGGGCATAAAATTGATATAAATGGTTCGACCGCATTTACCAACACCTCACTTGCAATTATTTCTATAATCATTGCCAATCGTTGTCTTTAATATCTTTAGCAATACACATGGCTACTCGTAGAAAGAAAGATTAAATACTCAAGTATGGCCTTTTTATTTTAGCCTTGTGGTGTTTGCAGGCGAGATTGTCCTGTCATTTTGATGGAATATCAAGTGATACATATTGTTATTCATCTGGCGGGGGGTTGGGTGGCCGAATGTTTAGCGCGCGCGCTGTATCATACGGTCTGTCATTGAGTCGCCTGTCCAACCTCGTGGGTTTTCTCCGGGTCCTCCGGTTTCCTCCCACTGCTAAAGACCCCTACGCGCAAGCCGCAAGCGAATGATTGAAATAAAATTGAACCATATGTTAGTCCCGAATGACCTAGTTTGTGTCAAGTGGACGTTAAACCCCATTTCTCTCTCTATTCATCTGGCATGAAGAGATTGTCTAAGGTAAGTCGTGCTACCAATTTTGTTTTTATAAGCCCACAATTTGTTTGTGGACTCTCTACAGGTCACAATTGTTGTCCGATTTTGGCGAAACTTGAAATATAGGTTTATCCCCAAAAGATCTCGGCTGCTTTCGATATTGGCATGTATCGGACTGTAACTTCATGGATTATGGTCCCTGTTTGTACGAAAAATCACGTTTTTAGCTTGTGGACCCTATAGAGGTCACAATTTTTATCCGATTTTGTTGAAACTTGACATGTAAGTTTATAACCCAAAGATCTCAGTTCCTTTCGATATTCGTGCATATCGGATCGTAACTTCCTGAATTATAGCCCCTGATTGTAAGGAAATCATGTTTTTAGCTTGTGGACCCTGTATAGGTCATAATTTTTATCCGATTTAAAAAAACGTGTTATTATATCACCATTACACCCTAAGGAAGGTTGAGTTCGAATTTGGGGAAAATCGGACCAAAATTGCCAGACAAAATAGCCGCCGTTTGTACGCGAATAGTGTAAAATTAGGGTAAATCAAGGTTGTGGACCCAGTATGGGTCACAATTTTAATTCGATTTTGATGAAACTTGAAAAGCATGTTTATGACCTAAAGATCTTCGTTCCTTTCGATATTGTTGCATATTGGATCGTAACTTCCTGAATTATGGCCCCTGATTGTACGCAAAATCGCCTTTTTTAGCTTGTGGTCCCTCTGGAGGTCACAATTATTATCCGATTTAAAAAAACGTTTGATTATATCACCGTTACACCGTAATGAAGGTTGAATTCGAATTTGGTGAAAATCGGACCAAAATTGCCGGACAAAATGGCCGCCGCTTGTACGCGAATAGTGTAAAAATATGGTATATGTCAAGGTTGTGGACCCTGTAGAGGTCGCAATTTTAATTCTATTTTGTTGAAACTTGAAATGCATGTTTATAACCTAAAGATCTTGGTTCCTTTTGATATTGTCGCATATCGGATCGTAACTTCATGAATTATGGCCCCTGATTATACGAAAAATCGCCTCTTTTAGGTTGTGGTCCCTTCTGATCTGAAGGTCACAGTTATCTGATTTAAAAATCGTTTGAATATATCATCGTAGCACCATAATAAAGGTTGAGTTCAAATTTCCTGAAAATCAAACCAAAACTACCGGACAAAGTGGCCGCCGCTTGTACGCGAAAGGTGTAAAAATATGGTATATCAAGGTTGTGGACCCTGTAGAGGTTACAACTTTAATCCAATTTTGATGAAACTTGAAATGCATGTTTATAACCCAAAGATCTTGGTTCCTTTCGATATTTGCGCATATCGAATTGTAACTTCATGAATTATGGCCCTTGGCCTTGATTGAGGAAAAATCACTTTCTTTTTAGCTTGTTCTCTATCCATCTCTCAAAAATGTGGGTGTATCCTGCCTGGCAGCCGCTGGTTAGTGTTTAACGTCCGCTTCCATCGAAGGTGATTTTGCAAACAAATTGTCTTATTTTCATGCATATAATTACTGTTTTAATAAACTATTAATCAATCTCTAATTACAATACATTACAACGAATTGCCACGAAAGTATACATTAGTTTCTTGTCAACAAAAATCGCATACAGGAGTTATCTTCCGTGAACCTCCGATTTGGGCACAAAGCAGCGAGGCTTCTTAAATTCAACTAAATTGTTATTTTGTGTTTCCACAGTCAATATTTTTGGAGTTATTGGGTGTTTTTTTGGAGATATTGGGTAATTTGAGCAAATTGTTGTTTTGTGTTATTTTGGAGTTAGGCATATTGGGTATTTCGACACGTCCTACGTTATCATAATCATGACGCATGTATTTGAAATGAATTCCTGTAGTCTTTCCAAATCAATACACCTACAGCGCCTTCATCTGGCCTGTGGAGAGACCAAAATAGTTATTTGTTATATTATAATGTATTAAACATTTAAAATAAATTAGTTTTGTGGGGGGAATCAGGAATTTTCGAAGTGAATTCCGGTGATTGTAAATGAATTCCGGTGATAAGTCTACCCGTCAAAAATCTTGTGCTGACCATGGGTGTCGAAAAGTGATGCTATTTATAGTAACTTGGGTGACGGTTTCTTCCGTCTTGAAGATTGCTGCTCAATGTCTGCATGATCTTCACAAAATGGTGCCAAAGCAGACGAATCTTTCGTCCTTCAATAGAGGTGGTGATACATGTATCAAACGCAAAAGAAATATCGTTGCTGATTCATTGACCTAATTCCAGCCATTTCACGTGTCATCGGTATTCAGCATTGGAGATTTTATCGGAAAAATATATTATATTCAGTGAAGATTTAAATTGAACTAACAACTAGTCTGTGAAACCATCAAATGTATGATCCAATTATTATTTTAATATCTACCTGGAATTCATATGGAGCGTCAAAGACGTGCGATTCTCGAGATTCACAATACAATCCATGACCAGATCCGCCTGGCATATTTTCACAATATGTTTCAATGAAGTGTTTATTTGAATACATTTAAAGATTGATTAGCGGTAAAATTTTGTTTTCATCAGATTGGTAAAATTACGAGTGGACCGGTCTACCGGTGAATTTTGAAGCTAGCGGAAACACTGATCTCTCCTATTGAGGTAGGCGATAATGTTCGATAATGAACATTTTCTGCTGAGGGTAAGCAGAGTGATAAGCAATTTGATTGGTCGAGACTTTGGTACACAATAACTCTCCTTCTAATTGAGGTTGAATGTTCAAATTTGGTGTAGGCATTCATTAGGTGAATGCCTTGATGGAGTTCAATGATGAACAGAACATTGTCAGCTTACAGTAAAAAAAGAGCAGTAATCTGATTTGTTGATGCTTTGGGGCACGATAACTTTGGTTATAATTAATGTGAGAGGTATGAAACTCTGAGTATAGATCCATTATATCATTACCTTGACTAAGTTCAATGATGAGAATTTTCTGTGTAGACTAAGGAGCGATAAGCAGTTTGATTGGTCAAGACTTTGGAACATAACAACTCCCACTGAGAACTGCTAAAGGGTGAATCTGTGCAGTTCTCAGTGTCCGCTTTTAATTGAGGTAGAATATTTAAACTTAATGTAGATGTAAAGCTAAGCAGAGCTAATAAATTTCATTGGTCGATGCTTTGGGACAAGACAACTTTGATTTTATCTGATAGAGAGTGGTGAAACTTAGTGTATAGTTGATAATCAGTTTGATTGCTCGATACTTTTGAAACAAACTAAAGGTGCAATTAATATATGTGCCATCTATTTATTTTGAGATTTCGGCGAGGGACATCAGCCTCACTGTTGGCTTGTTTTATGAATCAAAACCTAGCATTTTAGTTAGGGCTTTGGTGGGTAAAATTACATTTATTATGAATGACAGTATGTTTTGATGTAATTCTTTCAGCGTAAACCAGACGAAGATCCAGAACCAGATGCGGAAAGTAAAAAATCTCGTCAGGAAATAGGTGGGAGTGGAGATGCCAAAGCTGTTGAAAATGTTGTTACAGAAAAGGTTTAATGTATAGACTAGCCCTAATTGCCCATGAGACGAAGAAGCCTTTTCAAAATTATGATATATGATTTCAGTGGACAAATAGTATGAATCATGTAGATATCAAAAAAGTGTTTCTAGCATCTGCCCTTGCCAAGAAATAACCAATTTTAACAGTATCACATTTTAAGATTGTTTTTCACATTTTAATAAAGCTTTATAAAGAGTTAATTCTTATTTTAAAACGCCCATATTTTCATGTGGACATATTTTGTCGTCGACCCTGATTGTATGAAAAATCGCGTTTTTAGCTTGTGGACCCTATAGAGGTCATAATTTTTATCCGATTTAAAAAAATAGCATAATAAATATGGTATATATCATGGTTGTAGGTCACAAGTTTCTTCTGATTTTGATGAAACTTGAAATGTAAGTTTATAACCCAAAGATCTTGGTTCCTTTCGATATTCGAGCATATCAGATAGTAACTTCCTGAATTATGACCCCTGATTGTACAAAAAATCGCATTTTTTGGTTGAGGTCCCTTCAGATGTTACAATTATTATCCGATTTTTTAAAAAAAACATTCAAATATATCACTGTTACAGCGTAATTTTGGTTGAGTTCGAACTTGGCCCCTCGTATACAATTAGTGTAAACATCTGTATATCAAAGTTGTGGACCCTCTCGAGATCACAATTTTTATCTAATTTTATGAGAGATGAAATACATGTTTATAACCCAAAGATCTTGGTTCCTTTCGATATTCGTGCGTATCGGATCGTAACTTCCTGAATTATGACCCTTGATTGTAAGAAAAAATCATGTTTCTAGCTTGCCGTCCATGTAGAGTTCACAGCTTTTATCCGATTTAAAAAAAAATATATCACCATCGCACACTAAGATCTTGGTTCCTTTTGATAACCGCGTATATCCGAACGTAACTTCCTGGATTATGGCTCCCGATTGTTCGAAAAATCGCATTTTTAGCTTGTGGACTCTCTAGAGACCAGAATTTTTTTTTTTTCCGATTTTAAAAACCATTTAAATATTTCACCATTCCACCATAATGAAGGTTGAATTTGAATTTCGGGAAAATAGAAATGAAACTGCCTGACAAAATGGCCACTCTTTGTACTCAAATTGTGTAAAAGTATGCAATACAAAGGTTGTGGACCCTCTAGAGGTCAAATTTTTTATCCGATTCTGATGAAACTTAAAACATACCTTTATATCCCAAAGATCTCGTCCCTTTTGATATTGCCGCATTTCAGACCATAACTTTCTGGATTATTGCCCCCGATTGTACAAAAAATCCTGTTTGTTTTTAGCTTGTTCTCTATCCATCTCTTGCAAAATGTGGGCGTATCCTGCCTGGCAGCTAAATCTATGATATCCAGGAATGTTCCTTGTATTTTACACTTAGTCTACAAGGTAAATGTCCCCCCGCCTTTCAAAGAAAGCAGGGGACTATTAAAATGGGTTCGTCTGTCTGTCCGTCACACGTTTTGGGACACAATAACTCTCCTTCTAATTGAGCTAGAATGTTCAACCTTGGTGTACGTGTTTATTAGGTCAATGCCTTGATGGAGTTTGAAGATGAGCATTTTCTGCTTAGGGTAAGCCGAGATAAGCAATTTGATTGGTTGATGCTTTGGGAGTGATGAAATTTGGTGTATAGTTTCATTACATCAATACCTTGACTATGTTTAATAATGAGCATTTTCAGCTCAGGGTAAGCAAAGTGATAAATGATTTGATTGGCCAAGACTATTGAACTCAATAACTCTACTTCGAATTGAGGTAGAACGTTCAAACTTGGTGTAGGTGTATATTAGGTTAGTGCCTTGATGGTGTGCGAAGATGAGCATTTTCTTCGTTGGGTAAGCACAGATGAGCACTTTGATTGGTTGATACTTTGGGACACAATAACTTTAGTTGTAATTAAGTGAGAGTAATGAAATTTGGTGTATAGTTTTATTACATCAATACCTTGACTAAGTTCGATAATGAGCATTTTCTGCTGAGGGTAAGCAGAGCGATAAGCAATTTGATTGGTGGAGATTTTGGAACACTATTACTCTTATTCTTATTGAGGTAGAATGTTCATACTTGGCATAGGTGTTTATTAGATGAATGCCTTGATGGAGTTCAAAGATGAGCATTTTCTGCTTAGGGTAAGCAGAGATAAGCAATTTGATTGATTGATGCTTTGGGACACGATAACTTTAGTTCTAATTAAGTGAGAGTGATGAAACTTGGTGTATAGATTCATTATATCATTACCTTGACTAAGTTCGATGGTGAGAATTTTCTGCTTAGGCTAAGGAGCGATAAGCAATTTTATTGGTCAAGACTTTGAAGCCTAACAACTCTGCTTTTAATTGAGGTAGAATGTTTAAATTTGATGTAGATGTTCATTAGGTGAATGTCTTGACCGAGTTCAATGATTAACATTTCGAGCTAAAGCTAAGCAATTTCATTGGTCGATGCTTTAGGACAAAATAACTTTGATTCTATGTGATGAAACTTAGTGTATAATTTAATTGCTCAATACTTTTGAAAAAAAATAAATGTGTGATTAATTAATGTGTCATCTATTTATTTTGGGATTTTGGCGGGGGACATCAGCCTCACTGTTGGCTTTTTTAATATATTTTATAGGAAGCGAAAGATAAAACGCCAACAGCTATGGAGGAAGCAACTACCACTTCTTGAGATTACTTAATTGTGATCGTATAAAACTATAATATCATCAAATGTTGTGTGTATTTTTAAAAAAAACGTAATCAAGGGTTTTTTGCACGGTTACCTGATGTGGAAAATATCATGTAAAAGCTATTTTTGTTTATAAATAAAATATCGGCTTAAACAGTTTGTTGACTTCATATTATTCAATAGAATTTCAGTGTGTGCGTATTATGTCGTCACCCTGTTCATTAAGCGATAAAGGCTGTTGTTGATTTAAATGACCCCTCCCCTCTACGCAAATAGTGGCAATTTGGTGTAGAGATGTTCACTATCGGTATTTCAATAGAAATACTTGTCGACATTTCTAAATATATACTGAGCGCCACGGAAAACGCATCACTTTTTTTTCCCAAATATTTTATTACTAGGTGGTTTTGTACAGTATAATATTATGCAATACTATGAACTATTGTTTCACACAATGCTCCCAAACGCAAAAAATATCGGCCCATGTGCAAAAAAAAAAAATGCACGAGATGCCCATGAAAAACCCAATATTCACGTGCAGCATTGTGTGTGAGCCCTTTAAAAGCATGTTTTCAACTTAATGTGCAGTACATGAACTGTGAAACGTCAATCTGTCGTAATTTGTTGTTGTGCGTGTGAAGGAATCGAGCTAGAGATGCCGAGACTTACTGAAAATCAACGGAATGAAGCCACGGGAATGTCCCGGGCTGGCATGTCTACACGTGCTATTGCCAGACACGTGAATATTAGGTTTTTCATGTGCACACGGACCGATATTTTTTGCGTTTGGGAGCATTGTGTGAAACAATAGTTCATAGTATTGCATAATATACATACAAAACCACCTAGTAATAAAATATTTGGGAAAAAAAGTGATGCGTTTTCCATGGCGCTCAGTACGTAATTATAGTTAACACGCGTTCTTGCTATGTCGATATCTTCTTCTGTATTTAAACATCTGTTTCCAATTTAATATCTCTGATCAAATATTATTATATAATTATTTTAATCCTAAGCTTGTATATATGTTCTATATTCTACTGTAACTTATCTGGTGACCGGCTCGCTCTAGCGATACCTATCTCGTTATTGTGACCGTTAGCCAGTTTTGGACACTCGTTGATTAAAAGTACAATTTTAACGATTTGTCTGCGTTTTCGTCGTTAGTGTTGGAATAAGCTACAACCCCCAGAAAGCAGCACTTCGGTAGCTATTTCACACGTGAAATAACATTGTACAAGGGTCTGTAATTGCATCAATTCGCGTAGTCTCAGACACCCACAACCCCCTAATCCAGTATATTTTGAGGCAGACCACGATTAATTTCTTCAATCACTGGTGTTCTACATGCAGTAGCCCATTCCCTAAATTTCGTCGATAAGTTCCCTTTACAGCACAGCTAGTATGGGATCATTAGAGTACTGAATTTGTATAAGGGTTGACCACCAAAATTTCAATTCACTGATATTCATAGCAGACTGGGGACAAGACCGAGATATGGAAGAAACGATTCATTTATACTATATGAGGCTTTTAAATTTGGATTCACACTCTAGACCACCGTTAGGCCTCTAAGTTACAAGGAAATAAGAGAAGTTTTCGGGATGAAAGCATCTGAATAGTCCCCAAAAATGAAAATACTAGATTTTCAGCGTCCCATTATATATTGCCTAACCAGCGAATTTTCAGCGTAGCATAATTTATTTTCTAGCCATCTAAATCGTATCATTCAGATGTCATATGATAGTCCGTTAATGGGGCTATCCAGCGGTTTAAGAAATGTGTTTATCAGTTGGAGGAAATCAAGTAGTTTGGTGTTTCCATTGTGTCCAGATGAAGAAAATGTCATCTATAAACCTCACAATCAGGGGCCATAATTAAGGAAATTACGATCCGATATGCGCAAATATCGAAAGGAACCAAGATCTTTGGGATGTAAACATGCATTTCAAGTTTATCAAAATTGAATTAAAATTGTGACCTCTAGAGGTTCCACAACCTTGATATACCAGATGTTTATGCTATTTGCGTACGAAGGGCAGCCATTTTGTCTGGCACTTTTCGTCCGATTTTCACGAAATTCAAACTCAACCAAAATTACTGTGTAACGGTCATATATGCAAACGGTTTGTTAATAATTGTGACATCTAGATGGACCACAAGCTAAAAACGCGATTTTTCGTACAATCAGGGGTCAAAATTCTGGAAGTTACGACCCGATGTACGCGAATATCGAAATAACCAAGATCTTCAGGTTATAAACATGCATTTCAAGTTTCATCAAAATCGGGTGAAAATTGTGACCTCTGGCTCAAGCGTGTCCACAAGCTAAAAACGTGATTTTTCGTATAATCAGGGGCCATAATTTAATCCATGAAGTATGGTCCGATACATGCCAATATCGAAAGGAACCGAGATCTTTGGGAGATAGACCTATATTTTAAGTTTAGACCTATATTTTAAGTTTTGTCAAATCGGATAAAAATTGTGACCTATAGTAGTGTCCACAAATTCTGGACGGACACGGGCGAAGGCATAATCAGGGGCGACCGGGCGATCGCCCGAAGGGCCGGTCGGACAAAAAATGAAAAAAATAATTTTGTCCAATTCGTCTAAAGGATGCCTTTCTGTCTTGTCTATTTATTGGTCAATTGGCGTTTCACATTCCATAGGAGGTACCTCATTAGTGTTCGTCTTTGGTGTTAAAACCGGCAAGCAACTGGGCATATCGCCAGTGCTGTAGTAACGAACATGAGATATCATTCTACAGAGTGCAAGGTTGACCGTTTGATCACCTTTTGTGGTTTCTTCGTCGTCATCGTCTTCTTCTCTTAATCTTTTTTTTTTACCGTGTTGATTGAATTAATCATGACACACAGGACATCGGCGTTGACCATGGGTGGTTTTGTCTTCTGTTTGACCTCTACAGATTTGGCAGATATTTTCTTCTCTTTCTTCTTCTTGTCTTTACCTTTAGGAGTGGGGGTTGCAACGGACGTCGAGAGAGTCGTTGCTGGAGCTTGTTTTGGTTCCACCACCGGTTCTCTGACTACTTTTGCTTCTCTCTCCTTGTATTTTACTTGCTGGGTTGCCTCCCTAAAGGTAAGTTTATCTTTGCTTTGCAGACGTAGCGCTGCTTTGGTCGCTTGAATTCTTGGACATTGCGGGGAGTTGGCTGCGTGGCTGCTCTTGCAGTTTGAGCAGTTAATTTTGCTACCCACCCTACACTCAGCCACCGCGTGTTCTCCTCCGCATTGGGCGCATACGGTTTTTCCCTTACAGTACTTTACCGTATGTCCTAGTTTCTGGCAGTTGGCGCACTGCCTCACCCTCTGAACATAGGGGTGGGTACGGCGGTTGAGGTACACGATTTTAATGGCCTCAGGTGCGGTACCCTTCTTGAAGGATAGGGCGACGCTTACCTGATCCTTCCCCTGGGCCACATTAAACCGATATACCTCGGTAGCTTGGTACCCCCTCTCTGTTAGATCTTCCAGAATTGTGGCCAGAACAGCTAGATTCTAATATTTTCATTTCATATGTACCCTTCGTAATCCATTATATTTTCGTAGGCACAAGTATTTGGTGATTTTATCCTTTATTAATCTTGTTCTGTAATTAATTTGGAATCAATGTCAATGTAAATTATATATGTGCCTAAGTATGTTTAATGTTGCCGAGTAATTTTATGCGATGTGCTTATCCCATTGTTTAGCATAGGGGAGCATATTGTTTTCACCGGCAGGGATCGGCAGTAGATTATTTTCATGATTTTATTGTCTATATTTGTTTGGAATGTTTTTTCCGAAGCGGTGCCTATTTGTATTTTTATTGTGCCTTAATCATGCCGGAAATTATGATCATTTATGTATTTTACTTATTGAGTAAATGTAGGGTTGATCAAAGGGAGATAACTTAATTACTTAAAATTTACTATCTTTGTAATTTTGTCTGTACATGTTCAATTTGTATAATTTTTATTATTCTGTTATTCCAAAACTTAGGAAATATGGTATTTTTATCGCCTCTATTTTGTTTTAGTTGAGGCGGGGGTTCGTTATTTTATTTATGTATGTTGTTTGATGTGGATCTTGATGTAAATAAGTAGGGCTTTGCATAACGTCTGATCACCTCGGTAGAAGCGGACGTAAAATACAACCAACTAACAACAACATAACGTGGATTTGATCTGGTCTGACTATCCAATACGTCATATCTATTGACTGAAAAGACTGATTCATAGAAGATATTGGTTTGAAAGGTATTATGTTTAATTGTATTTTTAATGTGAGATTACTTAGGTGTTTGTACCTGATGGTGTTTTAATTAAAGTAAATTATTGTGGACGTTGATTTATACATTGTTAGAGACGTTGACAAGACGTCCCGTCCTATTCGTTCCGAATTACCCGAATTACTGCTGGCTTATCCCCTACCGAACGAATATTTAATATTCACAATATAATTTTTTAAGACTGACGGTGTGCGGGTAACACTAAGTTTTAAAATGGTGGCAGAGGTGGGATTTGTTATCAGAGTGTAAAGGGTAAATAGAGTTTTGACGAAGATTAACAGTTAACGATTTTTGAAGATTGAAGAGACTCGGTAATTGATGATGTCTTCCAATAGCAGACCGTGCCCCCGGGATTTGTATGACGCTGTCGAAAATCTGCAGAAATCTTATCAACGAGACATTGAAACTTTAGAGAGAATGCTGGTAGATTGCAGTGTCGGTACCAGACGCACACCTACACCTGCACCTAGGGTATTGGCGTCAGACACCTTTGCAACACCAATGTTCTCAATATTTGGAGACAACACAGGCAGTATTCTCCGAGATTCGTCACTTCCCGTTAATGCATCTCAGAATGTACGTCACTTTGAGAATAATGCATCAACGCCACTGACGTTTGCTATGCCGCGTGTCAGGGATTCCGTACTTACAGAGTATCCTGATGAAAGAAACGGTGCGTCTCAGAGATAAAAATTCCAGTTGATTCATCTCCACGCTTTTCTAGTCGTATACAGAATAGTGCATCATTTTCTGCACCTACAAATTCAACCGGGATATCAGACAGGCTGTCGGAGAAACATCCCATATTGGAGCGAGTATCTACAAGGCTTGTTCCAGATCAACAAAATGCTGCGGAAAGTA